TTTGGATTACAAAATACCACCTTGACCTTTTCAAACATAGGATACATATTCTGTTTATTTCCAAAGACTTATTTTTACGTGAGATAACTTTCACAATATGAAATTACTATTTACATACAAAGAAAACCCTTTACTAGGCACAAAAGAACTGCTTCAACTTTAAACATCTGTCACTATGTTAACTATACATGTCTGTTAGCCATACTTTCATTAGTAGGGCCAGTCTTTACTTGTGCTATAATTTGAAAGGTTATAATCTTTCATTAAATAGAGAACCAATTTTTTTTTTCAACTACCCCTTGGCCAAGTCTACTCAATTTATTTTAAATTGTTTAATGCACACACAATTGTAAACTTATCCAAGACAATGATGATTTTATTAATTACCTGTATAGAGAACTTTTCTTTCCTGACAATCAAGGAGAGACCTTTTCCTGTGCTTGTGCGCTTTTTCCCGAAACTTTACTGTTATCACTACATTTGGATCAGCGGCATTATAATTCAGTTCAGAAAACGATTTGGTTTCCACCAAGTTCCCAAACTTTTTGTTGAGGAAATGATGGACAGCTTTCCGGTGGGCTTTGTTGGTATCCGGTTTAAATGTAAATTTGGAATTTTCTCTCTTTGCATCTAAGTACTTAAAAAAACCGAAAGCTTCTTCTTCAGATACCAGGTGGCAGAGTTCTTTGTACTCAAGGTTTGCTTTCACAACAATTTCACCGTTTTTCCCCACAGTTATTAAGAAAGGAAAGTTCTGTCTAATAGCACTGTGCAAACTGGCCCTCTGGCTTTTGTCAAGGATTTTGCCCAGGGAGAGTTCAGGAGATGGTCCTGTTAGCTCAGTTTTGGAATTCAACTTCTCTTTTACGTCACAGGCAAACTGGGCCAGCAATTCATTCGTTTTTTCATCTAACAAGGAGTTGAAGACATCATTTTTTTCTTCTTCACATCGAAGCGTTCTAGCATGGCCAGTATCTTCATTTTCTAAGTCATGTTGCAGACTTTGGTCACTCTCAGAATACCGAGTTACAGCATCAAGGGCTGGGTTGTGTCCCTCTTCGAAGGATACACTTTGAAGATCTAGTTTTGTTTTCTTAGCAATATTTTTGGGCTTAGGTAGTATGCTATTAACCTGGTGAAGAGGTTCATCCAGGGCCTTATCAACTAACTGTCCCTTTTCATTGATCTCAATAACAACGAAGTCCCTTGGTGAGTTTTTTATAGTGCCACGGAATCCAACATGATCATTAATGTAACATAAAGAACTGAATCTGGTTCTAGTATCTGCATCCTCTTCCATTCTTAAATAATAAGGCCTACAAAAGAAACCAAGAGTTAGAAAACAAAAAACAAATGGGTTTGCTGGAATTATGTAAGTTTTTCTCCCTTGTGATTTTGAGTTCTGTTAGATAACACTAGTACCCTGATTGAATATATAGTCATCAGATTGCAAGTTGATATTTAGAATTGCAAATTACCACTTTAGACTATTTCTTTTCTATATTCTCTATTTGTCCCTCTCCCATTATATCACTTTGTTCCTTAAAATTCTGTTCCCAGTTTGCTGAAATTAATGACATTTTCAGCTATTCAGATGGAGTTTAGACAAATCATTGCAAACAACCCTGTGTTCAAGTGTCTTTTTTTGTGGGCCTACAAATCATATTTTTAAGGTAAGCTTGCAACTGACCCATTTAAAACCTGAATAAAACACTGCCAAAGCAAACACTGCCATCCAATGAATATCCACCCCATAGG